CGGGTGTTAATTAAATTTAATAATCCGACCTCTTGTGCGCGCGAATCCTCGAAATTCGCGAACCCTTCTTGTACTCTCCTTGCCGGGTGTCGGTCCTGAACGCACCCTCGTTTCCGTTTTCCGGAATGTGTGCCCACCCTCCTTGTAAGTTAATTCGAGTCCTTATCTCAAAACAATAGGCGTCATCAATTCCGTCAAGTTCCTCAAGAACGCGGAATTTCGATTCGCTCTTGCGCGACGAGCAAAATTAATCCTGGAACGCGTCGCGTCGCGTCAATTCCGATATTTTCAACGTAAGACGTCCACAGAAGCGCCTTCGATTTGGCTCATAATATGAAATATGAAATATAAAACCGAGAAGTAAGAGACGAAAGAAAAATAAGTTCTCTGGAAAATGGAAAATAGAGCGGATTATTAAATCGTAAATAAATAAAACTTTAATCTTTCATTTCATTTGTATAAATTTCCACCCTGCTTTTAATACCCATTTTCCATTTTTCACTCGTTCCTCGCTTTTTGCGTGGAACGAGTTAAAAGCGTCACGTTTCACGGAAATTGTATCTCTCTTTATTATCTATCCCGAGTGGAAATTTAACCTCGCCGGCATCCAGTCATCAACTAGCCGATACTAGTCTTATATTGCCCCTGTCCAGTAATGTAACGCTTTTAGAAGTTCTATAGATACTCGATAAATACAATTGTCTCATAGCGAGCTTAAAAAAACTGTCTAGTAATCAGCTAGCCTGGGCTAGATTAAAAATATATGGAAAAATAAATTTTTAATTTTTTTCATTGTTCCATTTTTGCTAGATAAAGTTTTGTTACAACATTATATTAAATTTTGTGACAGTCGTTCACTCTATCAACTACGCTATCGAGTATCAGTAATAATTCAGCTTAAATTCTCCTTATATGTTATAACGTAATATAAAATACGAACCTGAAAATTTTTTCAAATTGCTAAACAATATTTAATACCTTAAATGCTCAATACTGTCTATAATATATAAATACGAATATGTTAAATAATTAAAATTTAAACTCTATGTAAAAATATCGTTCAGTAAAGATTGCCGAGAGATTTAATAATTCTAGCTAGTACTAAGCTAGTCAATGGCTAGTACAACATACTATTTCCTAACGCGAGCGTGAAATGGGCCGCTTTTCGCGCTTGTTTTGAGTGAGCAAAACGATCCATTTCTCCACTAGTTGAAAAATGGAGCCATTTCTCAACTAGTGGAGAAATAAAATTGTAAAACAAGCGCGAAAAGCGGCCTGTTTCACGCTCTTGTTAGGAAAAATAGTATGAACAACTCGTGGGAAGAGTGGTCGAGCCCAAATGAGTGTGATGGTCGCACTCATTCAGAAACGACCACTTTTCCCACTAGTTGTACAATATACTATAGCACATAAATATTTCAATTTATTGCAATCTATATCATCCACATATCTTATTTTTCATTGGTCACAACGCGCTTCCAATGTTCGTCGATTTTTTTGCCGTTTTTTTAAAATAAATATAAGTATTTTTTTTCTTGTTTTCAGATATTTAATGTTATGCATTTTACTCTGTTTAAAATATTTTTAAACGCTCAGATGCTTGTTTAATGTTTTTAACATCCTAGACATGTGCAATTTTATTATGTGACCATTTTTATAAAATTAAAACGTTTATTAAAACAATGTTTTTGTTGACCACAAGTAAACGTATACCACTTGCAAAAATAATGAGTTATCAAAACCATTTATAAAATGTCTTACAAAAATTTATATTTAAATTTTAATTAAAGTAGATTATAAATATAATTTTAAAATATAAATAGTAATAAAAAATAACAAAAATATGTTATTAAATATATTATGTCAAATTATATTAATTCGATATAAATATTTAAGATTAATAATTAATAATTTTTAGAACAAACAGAGCTATCATTTGCAGCATACAGTGTTGTTAACGATATCTTAATTCAATTAAATTGCACAGCCTAAGGCTGTTTACTTGAGCACCTTTTCTTGTGCAAACGATTTGTTCGAATTATTGCTCAAGGGCGTTCGCGGTTTAAAACAAATTGTCAAAACTCGACTTATATCACTTTCAAAAAAATCATTTATGTAATTTCGTTTAACAACCAAGCTTCTATTGATTTATTCGGAAAAATATTGTAAAGCATTGAACTTCAAAATAGAAAAAAAATAAAAGGTAAGTAAAAATCTGTAAAAGAAACAAGTTTTAACTTATTTCTTTCGAAATTGAACTTACATACTATTTCCTAACTTACACCACTTTCAAAAAGTAAACGGCTCGTAAGTATCGTTCTCGGAAGAGCTCGGGATAACGGAGTTCCGTTTTGCGCGCGCCGCTCTCCACACCTTTTTCGCACTTATTTTTAAAAGACGCCCCCGTACACGACGTCGCGCGCCTGAAGGGTTATTGTTAAGATAAATCTCACTCTGTCCCCTTTCCCGGAGCGCCGACTACCCTCGGCCCTTCCGGCTTAACTCAATTTCCCCCCCGTGCCGGCGCGAACCACCGGCTCGCCGCTGATGTAAAGTCTAGTTTACACGAACAACGACGTTCGGGCGGCGTGCGAGGGCGAGATGTACAGGTAGCGAATCCGACCACTAATTAAGAGACGCGCCGCGCCGCGGCTCGTTCGCGCTCGGGGAATTCGGAATAGTCTCTCTCTCTCTCTCTTTTCCACTCGCCTTGAGAGACGAATGCGCTCGTTTCGCGAGCACGTATTCTTCGGGGAGTCCATTACGTTACCCGACACACGCCGCCGCAGGATGTTACGACAGATTCTTATTGTCTTACGGACTCCAAAAACGATCGTTAAACTCGACTCGCCGGATTCAAATGCTGATTTTTTTTTATTTTTAGCAATATCGAATATTGCAAAGTATAATATCATTACTTATTAGATCAGTTTTAGCTTATTTGTTTATTACTTAACGTAATGGTGCGTAAATTTGTGTCGAAAAATGTTTAAGAAATTCTGCATATTTAACTTAATAATATGCAATTTAATTTACTGCTGTATAAAAAACTATATGTATTAAAATATTTAAAAACTGATTCAATTATATATATATATATATATATGTGTGTATATATATATATATATATACTAAAACAACTAATTTTTTAAAGGGTTCGCCAGCATAAAAAGTTTGCGGACAATTGATGAACTATAATACCACTGTTATAGGTCATTCTCATTTTATTTGTTTATTAAAGTAAATCGAGCGATTAAATGGAACGATCTAATATCATTACTTATTAAATCAGTCTTAGTTTATTTGCTTGTTAACACATTGAATGCATGAATCAAAGCTAAATATAAACGATATTTTATTTAAAAAAAACTCAGATTTTTTTCAAAATATTCAAATCTTCCGTTCATTTTACATCTATTCTAAAATTTTTTCCGAGACCCGCTACTTCATTAATCGAAAATATTTAAGTCGGTTCACGCTTCCCGGATGCATGGAAGATCTCGTTAAAATAACGAAGTAGACGCAGAATACAATTAAAGTCAAAATCTCCGAACTGACTTTCTCACAACGATTTCGGCTCCAGGCGCTCGCGGGGAATCCCGAGATGTGCGGGACCGAGCGAGAAGGGATGCTGCCGGAAACACCAAGCAGGAACGACGCTTCGGAGTCTGCGGCCCCGAGGATCCAATTATCCGGCGGAATAAAATTGCGCTCGACGGCGAATCGTCCGCTCTCGCACGCGTCGCCTGCGTATAGGATCCCGAGCGAGCAGCACGGGGGAGTAATTTCGCCTGTAATGCCGCGATGCCGGTGCTGCGGCGCGGTGCGGAGCGGCGCGGGGCGGGCTTCCTCATCGGCGATGTATGTTGCCGAGTCGGTGGTTTTGCCCGTGTTTACCGTGGCGATGCGCCGTGACGGCCGCATCGCCGGGAAAATTGAGTTACGAGGGAATAGAGAGTAGCTCTCCCGCTCTCGCGAGCGCGAGAGACGACCTACGCGACGCAGCGTCGTCCGACGCAGCGAGGGTGAGGAGCCGGAAGCACTGAGAACGTTGCTGAGCCAGCCGAATGTTCACGTACGCGCGCTGCTTCGCACAAGGCGTTCAGCTATAGTATACCGTTGCCTTTGACACTTTGTAGATCCTATTCAGATCGAGGCATCGACACGGTTCCGATCTCTAAATCCGCTCGCAAAAGTCTCTAGTCTTGCAGTTTATCCTCGCATTATAGTTAGTTCTTTAAAGTTTTTTTTTATTTTAGTTTGTTATAAATATTTCTTTTGATTTTAGTACTTTCTCTCTAAAGTTGTTTTAATATATGTTTAATAATTTTAATATCCAGATCTTTCTCTCGGGACACGTCGACATGTTCTAAATCCGCTTATTCTACAATTAAAAGTTTCTAAAGTCATGCAATTTATCTCTGCGTTATAAAACTAGCTTTTTAAATGAATTGTCTTCTTATTGTAAATATCTCATTCAATTTCAGTTATCTTTTCAATTATTATATTATGTTTATTTTAATATCAAGACATCAATACGATGAGTCCAATCTATAAATTTTTGACTAAAAATGTCTTGAAATTATTTTATTCGATGTTTATTTCTGCGTTATCTCTCTAGTTTCTCTTTATCTGTATACCTTAAAAGTAAAGAACCATATCTCCATACAGCATCTTCTTTGCTGTATTTTTTTAGATATAAAATAAAAGTAGCAAAACTTGATTTATTGAGTTTTTGATAAAATAATTGAACTGACATTTTTCATATAGAACAACTGTCAATGACACTTTATCTGACCTGAAAAACTGGAAATACGATTCTTTATCTCCAAGGTGCAGATATATATTCTTTATTTATATAGTTTCTTGAACAATTATCTTTCTTATTTTTAATATTGCGTACCTTTCTTAATTACAGGATTTTTACAAACTATTCAAATACGTTTAATATATTTACCGGGTGGAAATATGTTCCGCGTATAATTATTCTATCGACTTACCGCGACACTCTGTGCTGCGCTATCCTACCGTGACTGGGCAGTGTCACGTTGCTGTCGCTTTTCGACCAGGTGACGGAGTTCTTGGCGTCGGGCAGGTCAACCTTGCCCAGGTAAGCCTCGCAGAAGAGTCTGAGTGTACCTCCCAGGGGCACCAACTGCGAGCTCGGTCTATAAGTGGGCAAAGGTTTCCCCGTGTAGACCCCGGATTCCTCATCTGAAATTCAGATCACGTCTACGGTGAGTTTAAATTATAACATTTACAGACACACGTATATGTGTGTACAAATCGTACATGTATAAATCATACGATTAGCGCGCGCTAATCCGCACGTTTGTTCGGAAATTTAATTGGTCGTCTTATCTTCGGCGGCGTTTAATAACGCCCCGATGATTAACGACACTTCTTAATGTGACAGATATAATGAATCGTACGAAAAATGAAAATCACTTTAATATCGCCTCCCATCACGCCGCGGTCCCCGCGCGCGTTGCCATGAATTACGAGTAACCTGCATTACCATGATATACTCCCCCGCCATTTATTTTGCCACGTTTCATCCTCTCCGCGTATTCATATTTAATGCGAAAACACTTTTCGGCAGTGTCTTTCCATCTCGCTCCGACGAGATCGTATAATAAAAACCATCTAATCCGTCATACGAATCTTTTCGGATCCATTATAAAGAATCGACTTAAAAATAATTATTTAAAAAATAATTCTCATGTTCAACTTCCGTCCTCATAACTTTTAAATATTCAATATTAAATGACAATTATTATAAATATTAATTAATAAACTATAAATCTATAAAATAAACTCTTAAGCGGATATTTTAATTTAGATTAGGAATGAAGAATTATTATTTTTCGCATTTTCTTAAATTCTTTATATTTCCTTTCAAATTTTAATGTACCTGTAAGTTCTTTGAACTATGCATTACAACTATCGAAATTTCTATTAGTTTCGTCGGATAGTGACAGACATTCGATTAATTAATTAGCTTAATTCGCGTTTAGCCGGCCTTTGAAACACACTGTAGAGCACGGCATCGAAGTGTGCACGGGAGTGTGTAGACATCGAGGGCATCGAATGAAAGAAGCCGGCGGATAGTGGATGGTGGATGGCGGAAGGTCACAGGTCGTTGGGTCGGAACGGCGCGAGAGGAAATGGAGACAGTGCGTTCGGGACGCCCGGATGGGTAATTCAATCAGCATTGATGCGGGAAAAACGCAAAATTAAACAGCCGTCTATTAAATCGAAAATGCGCGCGCTCGCTCGCGCGAAAAGAGCCCATGTTGCACTTATCGATTACCGTTGATTAAAATTGATGAATGCGTAGTTGAACGGTCAACACACTCGGTGCCATTTGAATTATTGCTATTTTGCTGGATGTTTCGCTTTTATAAACCGTTCGGCATAATATCGTAGAGTGGCCTCAAATATAGAAGTATTGTATTACGGAATATCCTGAAACTCACAATGAATCACGTAAAATCAATATACGTGCTCGTAAATTCGCGTTCCGCGCTACTCGGAGAGATCTAAACGAGAGAAGTTCGCTCGCGGATCAGCTTGGGGAGGTGTATTTTTTAATTATGTTTACCTCCTTGCGAGATAAATGAATTTCCGAGTTACAGCAAAGTCTTAATTTCAGAAACATTATTCTCCTCGCGTATATATTTATAACAATAATGTACAAAAATACATTCACTTCCCGATTTAATGCTTCACGATTTTTTTTATTTTCGTCAGCGTTATGACTAATGTAAATAAAATCGATAGTTTTGTCAGATTTATTTTCCAAATATGATAAATTCTTATATCCATTCATCATATGGTAAATTTATCATCTTCCATTTGTCATAAGATAAATATGATAAATTAATGATCTAAATATGATAATAATCATTCTTAACAATGGAAACCCGCCAAGGCTCTATTTTTCTCCCGTCGATCGAGACGTCATAAATTTAAAACGCGAAAATTGAAAAACAAGTTTAAACGACTCTTATCGATTTTCCCTCGATTTTATCTTGGTATTCCGTTCTTCGTGCTTCTCGTTATTTGAGAATCCCGGACACGAACAGGTGCACGAGGGAGCTTCAACCTCGTTTCGAAAAAGAGCGGCACATCCAAACTATTCGGCCGCGCGCCGTTAGTATGCGTCTCCGCGCGCTTCGCCGCATCCGGCGACGCGGCATGCGAGATCCGGCCGGCCGGATATTCGGGTACAAACAAACTGCTAACTAACCCCCGGACTGTCGAGATTATGATACATAGGCCGCGCATCCATTGCCCCGCCGCCATTGCTCTAAACGCGAGCTGGCATCCGCCGGCGATCGGGTTATGTTAGGTTAGGGTTATATTGATTTAGAGGTTCGGGTTGGCGATCGCGATATCGGTATATCCAGTCTTCCGTATCGCGAACATATATATCTGCATTAGAATGATTTAAGAATGATTCTTCTAGTAATTATAGATTAAAAAAAAGAAAAATAAATTTCAGCACAATCTTGATTCCAACTTTAGATACAAAAAATTGAAAAATATTCTTTCAAAGTTTGTTTAAAATCCTCTTTTTCACTCTTTTCCCCCCTCGAGGTTTATGTATAAAATAAGATGAAGATAACTTCGAAGAAGTTTCATGGTTGCGTCGCCCAAGTTAACCTTAAGCGTGAATGCAAAATGAACGAGTTAACGTTTTCCCTCAAAGAGTGGAAGACAAGTTCCATTAGTCGGGAAGTAAAGGGCGCTTGAATATGCTCGCCTAGGTTCGCAATTAATATCGTATAATCGAATCACGACGGGGACTTGAGCGCCGCTAAATTCGGCGAATTGCCGTGAGCGCCTTCAAAGCGGCCGCCATTTTCCAGAGCTGATCTCCTCGCGGCGAGGCTGCTGTAACGATTTAATTACACCCCGCGGTCGGGTAGGGTAATTTCGTGAGAGGCTAGGCTAAGTTACACTCAGTTAGGTTCGGCAAACGAAGGGCGGAGGTTCGCGGGGAGTATCATGGCATGGCGACGGTATATTCGCGATGGCGATTTCCAAGATGGCGGCGACTCCCGTTGCTCATCATGGCGTCCGGGTAAGACTATTAATCTCGTAAAGCTCTTGCAGCTTTACGCCCGAGTCGATATTTATCGGAAACCGGCCAATTTGTGCTCGCTTAACGGCCTCGTCGTCGTTCACCTAAGCCTCTATGGTTCCATTATAGATCCATCCAGATAAAATATTGACGAAACCTAACCTAACCTGATCGATATGCTGCGTCTTAGAAACACAATAAATTGGCGGTTGTTAAGTTAAATTAGCGCAACTGATAATCGTAGAGTTACTCAAATTAAATAGCGAACTTTAGACAAATTGGATTAACGATAAACATAGATAATAAAAGTTTCTTTTTAAGGCAAATCTTTAAGGATTTTATTGAATTTTTAAAGATTAACACAAAATAAGAGAGTCAAGAAGCCAAATTCGAGCGAATAAAGGGAGCAACTGACTAAGTAAAGAAGCAAATAACGAGTGTCTGCTTCTTTAATATTTAAAAGGTAAGACACTTCGACAACACAACTCGATTATCTTCTAACACATAATATATGTATCTTTCAAAAATTAAGCGCCTGCTAAAAAAGTCATTAAGTATGTGGTCGAATTCTTCGAATAATGGAAAATCAATCCGTTCTTAACGAACATTTGATCGGATTGGTGGAACAGTAATGAGCTACGTGAAGCTTTAATAAAACCTATTGCAGAAGCTGTTGCATATATCGAAGGAATAATCGCAAGATTTCGGATAAATATGTAAGGCTCCCTTTAATACTCGGCAATAATTAAAACATTAAGTGAACGCAACCCAAGATGTGTCCAAAGTAACGTCGCAGAAATACCGCTGCTTAAGGATTAAAGCAGACAATTTGATCAATAAAACTATATTTAGAACCGTAAATAATAATTACACCTGTAGCAAATTGCTCTCGATAGAAATACATGTACCTCACATTAAATAAAATTTAGAGAAATTAAAAAAAAATTTCTAAAAACTTGGTATATTATAAAATATATAGAAAAATAAATCTAGAAATGTGAAATTGATAATCGATTGTCGAAGTAATTCTATAATACAGTTATATATTAAATTTGTTCACTTATCTTTCTTAAGGTGATATGATTTAAAGTGATTACGTTTACCATTTTCTTTCTGCGGCTTCAGCTCTTTAAAAACTTCCCTCCGAACGCGTTCGCATTTTGAGTTATGACGTTTCCACCACCTCCCCCAGATGCTATATCTGTCGCAGCTACGTGAGCGCGTCTTAAACGTGAACGAGCCCGGCGGACCAGAGAGCGAGTGCACGAGCGCGAAATTAGCGCAAGGCGAATCGCGTTCTGCACGGAGAAACGACGTAACGATCCACGTAACTGCGGACCGATAATCGAATGCAGACGGCTTGATTAAATCACTCTCTCCGCGTCCGCTGCACGAAGCAGCGAACCCACCCCATCTCTCGCCTCTCCTCGCGCCTTCCTTTCTCTCCTATTAGCTATTTCAGTCTCTCTCTCTCTCTCTCTGTTTCTTCTCCGCGTACGTTTACGTAACGTACATAGGTATCGCGTGTATGTAGCGCGCGTCTCGTAGAAGCAAGATTGTACCCTTTCATCTTCGGTGTATCGGAAAGGAGCGAAATGATACACGAACCGAGATTATCGAAAATTGAGGATCGGAGAAGATTAATAACTCGACGAAAAAAAGTGGAAAATAATTCAGCAGCCGTAATGCGGTTTCTCTCGGCGGTGGCGTGAAATAAAACGCTGGGAGGAATAAAACCGCAAATCTGAAAAAAAACTACGGTTGAATTCGAAATGCGATGATGATGAGAGTTCTGGAAAATTGGATTCCTCCGTTCAGCGAGCGAAAATAAATTATATCTACAGTTATATTATGTTATATCCATGGCAAATTACTTCGCAGCAGTATGTGTTCTATGTTGGAAACAATATATAAAATTTAGATAAATTTAGAAAAAAATCTCCAAAAACTTGGTGTATTTTATTAAAATTAGGGAGAATTAAATTTGGAAAAAAATGATGATAATAATCTCCATATCAAAATAATTCGTAACATATTCAGCAGTTGCGCGGTAAAGGATGGATTTCTCGATTTATTTCATTTAGAGTAACATAATTATAAATAAATGAAGCAGCACAAATATTCA